TGTATGTACATACAAATGTATATATGTGTGTATATATGCGTGTATATCCTCTGGAAGTGTACGCTTGGATGAGTCAATGCCCCTGGAAACCCGCTCACCATACCAGCATGGGTCCGTTAAGTTATTCGACCACCTTTGCCACGCCTTCCTGGGCTGTGGCCTCAAAACTCTGGCGCTGATGAGGCTGAGGCTGGAAATATATGCGACATGTGTAAATTTAGGTAAGGACCAGCCTGCAATGTTGGTTAGATAGCCTGTTATATATATGTATAAACATGAACATAGATGGGCTGACAACTCTGTGCGATATGCTGGCAACAATGTAGAGCACGTATTGTGTAACAGGATCAAAGTGTGCAGCGACAAATGCATTCGATTTCCCTTTTTGAGGATATACATAAACCAACGAAGATTGAGATTAAACCTGTGTACACGTACCAATAACTTTTGCTGAATATCCGGAATTTGTGCAGAAATGGGTTTGGAATTCTAATTTTAACCACTTTGTGACGTGCATATGCATACCTATGTGATTGAGGAGATGGCAACTAATTGACTGGCGCCTAGATACGATCACATACAACTAAATGCATGTGCGTGTATGGATACAGAGACGCTCAACTATGTGTGTCCAAATGATTATGAAACTACATTATAAGGACTGACGCACCTAGTTCTCAATCTAACGTCTAGTCAAGCGGGTGCTTTATAGACCTAACAGTGCACACGTGTGCTTTTATACGAACGTGCACTAAATACATAAATTCGTTCGTAAAGCAAGAACTGCGTGCTCGGGATTTATACACTTCAACCCTAAACACCCTAACCATAAACTCTAAACCCTCACATCAAATATAAGCGAGGCTCCCGTGAGAGTGGGGCAAAAACTACACAACACGCACAAGACACCGAGATGTCTCAACGTAACAAAAATGTTTGGTAAATGAACTATGCGTATTTCGCAAGCACATATCATAATTTATACGTACGTACCATAGGTTTAGGTAAATGAACTATGTGTAATTCCCATGCACATATCATAGTTTATACGTACGTACCTTAGGTTTAGCACTCTCCTCGTAGTTAGGATCGTTGGGGTCATTCACTCCAGAGTCAGCGTTCAGCTGAGCCTCGCCCGCCTTTCCCCAATTGGCCTGCCCAGCACCATCTGCATATCATTTGTGTGCGTAGAAAGAATGTCTAGAAAGAAAAATTATATCTATATCTATATATAAATCTATATATAAATCTATA